AATCCAACCTTAACCCTTTCTAGAATGTCAAGTCTTTTAAGGACTACCTCTCTATATGGAATAAGTCAAGTCATAAGTATTATGATTTCCTTCATGCCACATTTCTTAGCTTTCTACTTAAAATCTAACAGACTACCTCACAATTAGTAAGGGTAAGTACCTCTAAGCAGAGATTTTAATTTTATCAATCCCCTCTACCCCTTGTAATCCAATAGGCATCTGTCTAACATCTACTTCAAGAATATATTTTTTGTTAAGCACTATATAGGGCAGTCGTTTTTCAAAATGTCTGTCCCAACCCAATTTTTCTAAATGAAATAAAACAGAACAGGCCGGGCGCAGTGGCTCACGCCTATAATCCCAGCACTTTGGGAGGTCGAGGCGGATGGACACGAAGTCAAGAGATCGAGACCATCCTGGTCAACAAGGTGAAACCCCGTCTCTACTAAAAAACAAAAATTAGCTGGGCGTGGTGGTGCGCACCTGTAGTCCCAGCTACTCGGGAGGCTGAGGCAGGAGAATTGCTTGAACCCAGAAGGCGGAGGTTGCGGTGAGCCGAGATCGTGCCATTGCACTCCAGTCTGGGTAACAACAACGAAACTCCATCTCAAAAAAAAAAGAAAACAGAATAAAAACTCTAACAGACTACCTCACAATTAGTAAGGGTAAGTACTGTCTCAAAGTTTTTGTTTCAGTTGTGGGTGTAGGTATGAATGCGAATATGTGTGGGCACGCACGCACTGCTTCTTACTGTGAATCACAGTCAAAAAGTTTGAGAAATACTGCTAGAGGGAATTAAATAAACAACAGTTCTACATTTAGAACAGTCCAGCCCCGCAAGAGTTGGCTTCTATGGACATGTATTTAGTACACAGTGCACCACCTGGCCTTAGAGACGTAAATTATCTTTAAAGACATAAAAAATATCTAACTTTCCATACGAGGTGATGAAAGGATTGAGGAGACTGGAAGGCAGAACAAACTACCTTTTGGATATTAATTATAATACCTGACAAATTAGAATAGATGCAGAAGTGTTTATTTCTTTACCATAATCCAACATGAGGAAATTAGTCATTTGAAATTAGATCATTTCTACTATGCATATCACTTCCAAATTTTAATTTAAACATTTTCTCACTTAGCAATAGTTTCTTAATTTATTATATTATACAAGTTTTAAATACATCTCAAAGAAACAAATTACATTCTATTAGAGCAGGGTAAGACACATTAAGATCACAAAAACTGTAAAAGAGAAAAAGAGGGAAAAAAGGTAAAAATGTATCTGCTTTAAGAAAATTATACTATTAACTCTCTGCTATGTAATATATAAAAAGGCTTTTTCTCTTTGTGAATACTCTTTTGGATAAAAGCTAAATTCCAAGATAAATTTGGCTTTAGGCACCAGCAGACTATAAACAACTTATTTTTAAAAAGATTCACACCTGTAGTCCCAGCTACTCGGGAGAATCAGGCAGGAGAATCACTTGAACCTGGTAGGTGGAGGTTGCAGTGAGCCAAGATCACACCACTGCACTCCAGTCTGGGCATGGAAGCAAGACTCCATCTCAAAAATAATTAAATAAATAATTGTCTGCTAAAACTTATTCTAAAATCTTTATATCTAAAACACCAATACTATTCTGAAAGTTACCTAGTTGTTTTTTGTTTTTGTTTTTTAATGAGCTGAAGTCGCCAGGCTGAAGTGCAGTGATACAATCTCAGCTCACTGCAACCTCCACCTCTCAAGTTCAAGCAATTCTCATGCCTCACCCTCCCAAGTAGCTGGGATTACAGGTGTGAGCCACCATGCCCGGCTAATTTGTTTTGTATTTTTAGTAGAGATGCGGTTTCACCACATTGGCATGGCTGGTCTTGAACTCCTAACCTCGTGATCCACCCACGTCACCCTCCCAAAGTGCTGGGATTACAGGCATGAGCCACCGCACCTGGCCACCTCAGTAGTTGTTAAAGACCATGGCTACATACAATTACATACATACAATTCCATTGACCAACTGATTGACAGGTCTTCCAAATTCTCAAATATTCAAAACAAGATGAACTATTTTAAGTTCTTTATGTTGCTATTTTGTTTAGATTTTGGGGGTTCTAAAAAGTTTAAATATATGTTACTTGTAAAAGTTACATTAAGTAAAAAAGTTTTAATAATTAATTCAGGAGGGATTGTGATTTCAATATTATAAAATGAGACAGCATAAGAAAAAATTTGGCTGGCACGGTGCCTCACACCTGTATTTCCAGCACTTTGGGAGGCGTAATTCCTTGTTCTTGGTACTGATTATACAGAGAAAATTCATCAAACTGTCTGTTATTTCCCTACTGTACTGTAGGAAGTTAGGTTCCCTTGAATCCCAAAAACGGAATCAAAATTCCAAAGCTATAAAGTATAAATGTATTAAAGACTATATTCTGCACTAGCATTAAAAGACAAAATGAAGAACCCAACACTGTGTAGCTTTGAGTCATAACCCTCTGACGCCACATTCACAGTAAAGATCAAGAAATCAGGCTGTGGAGCCATTCTTTCCCGTTTCTGTTCTCTCCCAACCATCCCGTCTCGCCACACACACAATGGTTTATCAAGGAACTAACAGAAGAAACCAGCTATCTGCTAGGCCATTTGACTTCAGTAAACTGGTGAAAAAATAACAGTTAAAAACAAAAACAAAACACAGGCCAGGCGCAGTGGCTCATGCCTGTAATCCTAGCACGTGGGAGGCCAAGCCAGGTGGATCACCTGAGGTAAGGAGTTCGAGACCAGCCTGGTCAACATGGAGAAACCCCATCTCTACTAAAAGTAGAAAAATTAGCTGGGAATGATGGCAGGCACCTGTAATACCAGCTACCTGGGGGAGGCTGAGGCATGAGAATCACTTGAACCAGGGAGGTGGAGGCTGAGTGAGTCGAGATCGAATCACTGCACTTCAGCCTGGGGGACCGAGCAAGACTGTCAAAAAACAAACAAAACACCACCCCTCCACATAAAAAAAAAATCTACTCAGCAAAATGTATGATGATAATTCAATTGCCCAAATTTTATCTGTTTAGTCGTTCTGGGCTCACATAGCATTAGGACTGTTATTATACATTCTGGCCAAATTAACTTTTTTCAAGTATACTGCAAAATCTAAGGTGAGTCAAAGACCATTATATGCCAATCCCTCTTTATCAGCAATCCAATACCAGTGACTGAGTCCACTCATGGGCAAGCCTGTAGGTGCTCAATAATCAAAGAAAATAAGGATTAGCAGATTCTCCTGAGGTAAATCCTATTGTATTACTTATGTGCCTACCTTATCTGAAAAGTCTCTAGGTAGCTTTTGTGGGCTCACAGACTTACTACAATGTTATCCTGCAAAAATGACAGAATAATTTAATTCCATAGTAACCTAAGAAATCCTATTTTAATTAGACTGAGGTTTCTAAGAAATGACAAAAAAAAATCCTATTCTAAGAGTTGTATGCATGGAATAAAACTGTATACACAGCCCTAATTGAATTTACTTTTCAAGGTAATCACTTGAACTATGTTTAAAAAATGAAAAAGATAATGTCATTTTTACCATAAAGCTGCTGTTTTGGCTAAAAAAAACAAAAGAAGGAACTACACAATCTACAGGCCTAAAACAGAGTTCATAAAATCTGACAGGTGAAGGGACCTTACTTTTCTTTCCTGCCCTTGCCGAAGTAAAAATTCATAAAGTGCTCAAACCTACAGCCCCATAGCAGTTTATAATCAAAATCTCAGAAGAGCAATGGAAATTGTATTAGATAAAATGTTCACTAGTATTTTTAAAAATCAAACATAACTACTATATAAACAAACAGATTAACTAAAATAAGCAACTGATAACACCACTGATTCTACAAAGCACTGTATGGCTTGCATCAACCATGAAAATTTATACAAGGGTTTGCACGTGATTCAACTCTAGACACAGACCCCATTCAGATACGTTAATATCCTAAAACACCCCTTTCACCACATAAGCTCTGAATAGGCTTAAAACAAGCAGACTGTAGGTTAGCACTGTAGAATTTGGAGCTAGATTTTATTGTCCCCACCAAGTTTAGCCAGCCATAGAGCAACAAATCAAAGTTCCAATAAGCACATCGCACCTGTGAGACTTAGGTATGCTCCAAGTCAAATATTTGCAATTTTTTCATCCCAAATATGCACAAATGAAAAAACACAGATCGCAGCGCCAGACTCTAAATCTTGTCATAAGACAGAATGATCTGTAGTTTTACTCCAACATGCTCCGTATTCTAACATCTATTGAGTCTCTAATATGATCCTATGCCAGGAACTGCTAGGCATTTGCATAAATGATCTCTAATCCTCATAACAAATCCCATTCTGCTGATGAGGAAACTGAGGACAGAGAGGTCAAGGTGACTTGTTCAATATCATAATGCCAGTAAATGGTGGAGCAGGGGTTTTAAATCTAGTTCTGCCTGGCTCCAAAGCACCATTTCCCTGAGCCTTCTTCAGCGAGTCACTAACCACAGCACCGGTTCACCTCTATCAAAGTAAATTGAAGTGTGATTGTCTGAAATGATGACAGCAGCTGAGAAAAATATCACACCTAAAATGGTAGCACAAGACCCAAGACTTCACAACAAGGAGATGCAGTCATGTCCTTTAGATAATTAGTTTTAAAAGCGATTGTTCAAAATACAAGACAATCCACTGTGTGTGTTTCTTTTTGGTTGTCTCGAAACTGACTTTTTTATAACAAAGGAAATGAAACTCAAGAGTATATTCACATTTTTTTGGGTAAAATTATCTGAAACCTTCGAGAAAAGGATGACTTCAAAAGTTCACATTATAGTTTGCCTCTTCGATAGGCTGCAGACATTCAAAAACAAAAATCACATAAGTAGCATTACTTATCAACTTTTTTTTTCTACAGACTTTAAAAGTATTTTCTTACCACACTACGAGATTACTTCCCATACTTAGAACAAAAATGGAAACAGCTCTGGGTATCACGAATCAGATCTTGGGACCACAGTTGCAGAAAGTAGGTGCTGCTTCCCTTGAGTAGGAGCTGCTGATCTGAAACCTCCTAAGGGAAGGGTGTCTGAAGAAGAGTGTTGGAGAAACCAAAGCAAGCTGTTTGTATTAATGAGAGTGAGCTGCTGGCACCACTACTCCTTAAGTGTTTCACTGCTGTGCAATTGTTTTTCAGCATCCAAGTTCTGAATCTGGCAGGGAAGGAATGCTGTTCTCACAGCCCTATGTATTATACCATCAGCTGCTCTATGGTGTGTGGGTGTTTAGATCAGCTGCTCTATGGTGTGTGGGTGTTTAGGTAAGTGTCTGGTTAGAAGAGGTTCCGCAATACTAAATCACGGAAGCACACTGTCCTCTGAGATTTTAATGGTCAGTATACTACAAAGTATTTGCAAAGAAAAATAACCTATTTGCAACTTTGAAATGGTTTGGGTTTAGGATAGGCAAAAGATTTCTGACAATAAAACTTGAGGCGGGACATGAACAAAAAATATAACTTGTAATATACAGCACTGCCAGCCTGTTTATGAGATAATAAAAAACGCAATATTTGCAACTTCAGCATGCTTTCAAACTTATAAATGCTATTCTTCAGATGTATGAAACAGGTTCCATGCAATATTTCAAGGCTCCCTTGCCTTCCAAAGTGCCAGTTAATATCATAAATTCCTTAGCTTCTCAGATATGGTGTGTGTGAAAAATATTAAGATCTCAAAGGATTCTTTAAATGAAAAATAATGTCAGAATCATAAGCTCCTAGAGAGCCAGGACCATGCTTAAAGTTGCTACCAATCCCACCACCATCACAAGCTGGAATAAATATCTCTTGATTGCAATACAACCAAAAGGCAAAAGCTGGGTGCAGAGCAATTTAAACAAAAATAGCTGATATTTATCACCTGCTTATTAATAGTATGGCGCAAAGTTCATCCTCAGTTCCAGATTCCAAATACGGAGGCTGAATTCCCTAACTACAATTAAAATCCTTCCCTTAAAACAAAATTTCAAAACGAATTATTTTGATGGCACTATCGCCATTAAGACACGAAATCACAGTTAACAAAGTTGGGGGAAAAAATCCTTTGTATGGGGCAGGTACACCACTACAAGAATGATATAGCCTTCTTTTAAGAGATCAGATCAACTTCAACCAACACATAAAGATTCAGTACAGGCATTATAAAAAAGACCTTGGACTTTGCTGTTGAAATTGGCAACATTTAGAATCTGGTTTCAGGAACATACATTACCAATTGATCAAGTCAAAAAAAATTATTTTGACTCTAGTTTTAACTTTTTCTGAAAGACTCTCACATACATTTCCTTTTTACAAGAAGACAAGGAAATAATTTTAAAATACCTAATTTATCCCATTCAAAGAACAAAACACAAGGTTACATGCATAAGCTACTTTGCTGTTTATTGCTCAGGGCCGGACAACTCTAATCCTTTAAAAAAAACTAACCAACTAAACAAAACACACAGCTCAGGTTCCTTTCACTTTTGCATAACATAGATCTTAACCTGAAGTCCCAGGACCAGCTTCAAGTTGACTTAGTGGCATACAAAATTATGTGTCTATTTAATGGAGAAGACGGCTCTAAAGCCTTCCATGACCCCAAACAAAGATTACCAATCCCTGAAGAAGACAGTTCCAGGATCACTAAAACTTAGTGAATAGTTTAAACAAAATTATACTAAAGATAGTATCTATCTGAATACTGTGGATGGTCCTGATACAAACAACCAAGCTGCCTGCTACCACTGACAATCAGTGTCAAGCCCCACTCACAAAGCAGCTCCATCCACTCGGCAACGTCACCTGTATTCAGCTCAGACACCGCACATCCCAGCAACAGCAGCTCCTCAGTCCCCTAAGCACACACATGTTGTCAACAAAGCATGTGCTAGTTGCCATTCCCAGAACAATATGGGCCTGGCCATCCTCTTGGGGAAAAACAAACATTCTTTCCTGAATACTACCCTACAAATACACTATGCCTTCATCATAGATGCCAAACATTGCAACAAAATAGGTGAAACTCGCACACACCATATCTAATTAACTAGGAAAAAAGCATTACTCAGGTGTTCCTGAGGGTCCACGGGAGATGCATATAAGAGAAACACTATGATAATGATGCTTGAACACGGGACAATCGGGGGGCAAAGACAGACTCACGCAGGAACACCCCGAGAACGTGGATGTAGAAAGCACCCTTCTCCAAAGGCACAAACACATTCCTTTGATTGGCACAAGCCATTTCTGACAATGGATCCGCGGTGACAGGGGCTGCTCCGCAATCAGGAAGTGAGTGTATGAGTGTGTCTGTGTGTTGTGGGGGAGGGATGCACTAGATGTGATCAAAGCTGGACCTTTTCAGAGAAGGTCTCGAATCCTGAAGACAGACTTCGAGGTGAGGCAGGGGTATTTATCATTTCCACAGGAGACATCCCTGGACAATGAACATGTTACGTGGAGATGTAACGGGGGTTTCACTACCCTTGGTGTCTCGGATCTAAGAATCTTCAGCAGAGCCTGATTGGAGGGGAGGAGGAGGTGGGGGTGGAGAAAGGTCTGCAATACCCACTGGGGTGAGCGTGGGGCTGCCGGTGGCGGGTGTACATCAGATGCATTTTATCTGCTGGTGGCACAATACTCCCAGGGGTTGGAGGTTTGGGTGCAACCGCAGGGCGGAGGAGGCAGTGGGTGCAAGCCACCAGCTGCAGGGCAGGAGAACGCTCGCAGGAGGACCGGTGCAAACCTCCTCTCGGCCCGCTAACCCGTGCCAACCCAACCTCCCCTCAGGCCTCGGGGCGAGCGGATCCGCTGCAAAACTGCAGCCAAGCCCGGGTCGGTGAGGGAGGGCGCGAAAGGCCAGGAACCGGGCGCCCCCGGCCCAACCTAGGTGCCCGAGGAGCTCAGCGCCCGGGGCCTCCCTGCCGGATGGGGGCTGCTCCGGCCTAGCGCACGCAACTGCCTCGGCGAAGGGTTACGCCGGCCCCCGGAGTCCGGGCCGGCCCGGCGGGCTCGGGAGAGGAAGGGCTGCCGGGGGCGCCGCCGCTGCGGTGGCGAGTGCGTGGGGGAAGGGGCCCTTACTCACCCGGGCCGGCCGCCTCCGCCTCCGCCGCCCCGGCCGCCGCCTCGGCGGTCCATCCCTGCGGCGGGGGCCTGCAGCCGCAGCGCTCGAGTCACAACCGCCGGCTGGGCCGGCCCCTCCCCCCTGCCCAACGTCTGTTCTCAGGGCCGCTCCTCAGACTCGGCCTCGGTTGCTGCCGTCGCCGCCGCAGCGCTACGTGGCCGTCGCTCCGACGTCTCGCGACTCCCTTCCGAGCGCGCGAGGGCGAGCGGGGCCGGCGGGGCGGGCAGCGCGGGGCGGGCGGCAGGGGTGGGGGTGTGCGTGTGTGGATGTGTGTGCCGGAGGGGGCAGGGAGAGAGGAGAGCGACAGCGAGGACGCGCGCGCGCGCACCCGCGCGCGCGGTCCCTTCCCTTGGCCGCCCCCCCCGCCCAACAGGGATCCCGACACCTCCCTCCGCCCGCCCCCTCGGCATCCCGGCCTCTGGGAGCGGCGGCGCGCATGCGCAGCCCTCGGGCCGGCCCGGGCGCACCTTTTCGGCCTCCTGCCACTTTGTGAGCGCTCAGCAGCCCAGATAACCGCCGGCTCCCCGCGCCACCCCCGCCCTCTCCTACTCCGCCCACTCCCGGACGCCCAGGTAAAGGCGAGAGCTGCGCATGCGCGGCGCTCTCTGTGGGTCGGGGGGCGTGGTTGCTGAAAGGAAGCTCAAGCGAACAGGGCGGGGGGCTGTAGCAGTTCCACGAAATAGGCGCAGATAAGGATGGGGGAAACGTAAAGTGAAGAAAGGGACCAAAGTAGAAAAGTGGGTCGACGTGAGATTTGGAAGTAAAAGAGACTTTGAATAAAAACTTGACGAGTGCTGACCTCCGTGTTCCTGAAGGGCAGTGGGAGTGATGGAAGACAGAAATCAGATTGGCAGCATAGTAGCAGCAGTGGTCATTCGCCCTATAAATGGGACCGTTAACAACTGGAACAGTTTAGAGATTGCCAGGGTGCTCAGAAAAACAGATTTAGAGCCTCACCTGTCTTGTAGCCAGGAATAGGGAAGGGGATGTGTGTGCTTGAGACCTAGAGCTGCTGAGGTAAAGGAAGCCTCCATTGTATTACAGTATTATGACTAATTAGCTATTACTCATTAATATAATCAGTGGTACTATTAGCTAACAAGGTAGCATTTATCCGAGTTCAGAGCCAAGAGAGAGTGTCCGAAATCGAAAGTGCTTAGGGTACAGGGAGAGGAAATGAACCTGGCAAAGTGAAGGCCTGGGATGGAAAAGACCCAAGACAGCAACTCTGAGGTCAGGGTCCCCTTTCCCACCGTAAACCAAACTTCCCCGAAGTTGTCCAAATCCTATCTTAATTGGAGCTCCTTCAATTATTAAAAACACACTTAACTTATGTTCTTGCACTAAGGCTGACCCCAACAGCACAAAAACATTTTCTTTCTTTTTTTTTTTTTGAGACGGTGTTTCGCTCTTGTTACCCAGGCTGGAGTGCAATGGCGCGATCTCGGCTCACCGCAACCTCCGCCCCCTGCGTTCAGGCAATTCTCCTGCCTCAGCCTCCTAAGCAGCCGGGATTACAGGCACGCGCCACCATGCCCAGCTAATTTTTTGTATTTTAGTAGAGACGGGGTTTCACCATGTTGACCAGGTTGGTCTCGATCTCTCAACCTCGTGATCCACCCGCCTCGGCCTCCCAAAGTGCTGGGATTACAGGCTTGAGCCACCGCGCCCAGCCTTTTTTTCTTTTTTGAGACAAGGTCTCACTGTATTACCCAGGCTGGATCGCAGCAGCATGATCATGGCTCACTGCAGCCTCCTCTCCCACGCTCACATGAGCCTCCCACCTCAGCCTCTGGAGTAGCTGGGACTATAGGAGTGTGCTGCACACCTGGATCATTTTTACATTTTGTAGAGACAAGGTCTCTGTATGTTGCCCAGGCTGGTATCAAACTCTTGGGCTCAAGCAGTCCTTCTACCTCAACCTCCCAAAGTGATGGTATTACAGGTGTGAGCCTCCATACCTGGCTGACATTTTCAATACACATGCAGCTACTTTTCCCTAAAATAGCACTGCTGTGGTTTATATGTGTCCCCCAAAGTTCACATGTTGGAAACTTAATCCCAATGCAAAAGTGTTGGAAGCTGGGGCCTAATAAGAGGTTATTAGGTCATGAGGGCTCTGCCCTCATGAATGGATTAATATCATAAACAGTGGGTTAGTTATCTCCAGGCTGGAGATTACAGTGGCTCATGCCTGTAATCCCAGCACTTTGGGCAGCTGAGGCAGGCAGATCACTTGAGGCCAGAAGTTTGAGACCAGCCTGGCCAACATGGTGAAACCCCATCTCTACTAAAAATACAAAAAAAAAAAAATTAGCTGAGCATGGTGGCATGTACCTGTTATTCTAGCTACTCAGGAGGCTAAGGCATAAGAACTGCTTGAACCTGGGAGGTGAAGGTTGCAGTGAGCCAAGATAGCACCATGGCACTCCAGCCTCGGTGACAGAGTGAGTCTCTCTCTCAAAAAAAAAAAAAAAAAAAATTAAATTAAAAAAATAAACAGTGGGTTAGTTATCTCAAAAGTAGGCTTATCTTTTTTTCCTTTTTTTTGTTTTTGTTTTTGTTTTTTCCTGCCACCTCTCTCCAGCCAAAAGTAGGTTTATTATAGAATCAAGTTTGGACCCCTTTGCTCTGTTGCTCTCTCATGCACTCTTCTGCCCTCCTGCCTTCTGCTAGGGGATGATGTAGCAAGAACAACCACGCCAGATGAGGGCACCTTGATACTGGATTTCCAGCCTCCAGAACTGTAAAAAATAAATTTCTATTCTTTTAAAATTACCCAGTCTGTGGTATTCTGTTACAGCAACACAAAATAGACTCCAACAAGCACCCCACTCCCATGACCCAAAATCCTGCAGAGAGTAAGATGACCTGAGTCTGGGACAAGTTTAGGGAAAAGACTGAAACTTTATAAGCAAAGGGGGTCCAAGAGCTGACTCTGTCCTGGGCCCCTTCCAAAAACAGATGCTTGACTTTTGTTATACTTGGACTCTGGACTCCAGGGATAATTTTGGCAACTTTGGGTCATGTTTTTCAATAATGAGTTTTTTCAGTGGATAAACACTAAAAACAATATCATATTTCAGCAGGTGGAGAGAAAAATCTTCAGGTAGAACAGGAGGAAATAAGTATAGTAATAAAAGGAAAGACAGATTCAATGTAAGAAAGAACATGGCATCCACAGGGGCTGGTGAGCCTGGGACGTCTCACTGAGGTCGATGTCTTGTTTTGCCTTCTTAGACATTTGATCCATTCCCCACCCTCTTCTAGTCAGAGCTATCCAGCTTGGAAGAGGGGTGTGCAGAGTGATGCCTAATGATCGAGGTGGCTTCTCCAGTGTCTGTGACTCTCCAGCCACAGGCCAACTCTCTGAAGGGATCCTAGTAACTACAATAGTAATAATATGATCTTCCATGTTAAGAGTGCTTTATGGTTTTTGCAGGGAGATTATGTTCATTAATTCTTCTTTGCGTGTGTGAGAAAAAAATCTTGCTCTTGTCACCCTCTTGTTGCAGTGCAGTGGCATGATCTCAGCTCATTTTAACCTCTGCCTCCCTGGTTCAAACAATTCTCCTGCCTCAGCCTACTGACTAGCTGGGATTACAGATGCATACCACCACGCCCAGCTAATTTTTGTATTTTTAATAGAGACGGGGTTTCACCATGTTGGTCAGGCTGGTCTTGAGCTCCTGACCTCAGGTGATCTGCCCACCTCAGCCTCCCAAAGTGCTGGGATTACAGGCATGAGCCACCATGGCAGGCCTTATGTCCATATATCATCAGATCTTCCAACAACCCTCCAAGGCAGACAGGACAGGTATTATTCCCAGTGAAGGAAATTCAGGCCAAGGAATGATTAATGGCTCAGGCAAAGTCACCCAGCCCAGTAAACAATGGAACCAAAGCAAGCCCATGTTCCCTGACTCCCAGCCTGCTGGTCTTTCAGAGGATTTGACAAGCCCACTCTGAGAATCTGCCATTTATTCCCATGGAGTGAAAACAGGTGCCCTTAGCATGTGACAGAAAATAATTCTAATATTCAGTTCACTTCTCCATCTCCTTTATTTAATGTTTTTTTTTTCTTCTTTCTTTCTCTCCCCAGAAGCCTGGGACTTGCCCCTGTGATCTGCTGCTTTGGAGGGTCTTGGGCCTCAGGGCTGGTAAGGTCCCTTTTGGAGATTTCAGTTCCTCTGCCTGCCCTCCTTTACCTCTTCCCCCTAACACATCAGTCCCAGGGAGAGGGCTGCCAACGAGTGTTACCACTTGACAGATCACAAGAGGGCTAGTTCCATTGCCTCCCTTGTTCAGCTGCTGACACTGCAGCCTGGCAGTCATTGCAGACAACATTTAGCTCCCACATCTGACCTGATTGGAAGATCAGGCTTCTGTCATCCTGGTTTCCCGTCCTTGGATAGTTCTTTACTAACTTTTATTCATTAAGGCAGTGGGCAGAAAGCTGCAGAACCTGTTTCTTGTTTTCTGAGACGGGGTCTTCCTCTGTCACCCATGCTGGAGTGCAGAGGCATGATCATGGCTCACCATAGTCTCAACCTCCTGGGCTCATGCAATCTTCCCACCTCAGCCTCATGAGTAGCTGGGACCACAGGTGCATGCCACTATGCCTAACTACTTTTTGTAATTTTTTGTAGAGATGGGGTTTTGCTATGTTGGCCATGCTGGTTTTGAACTCCAGAGCTCAAGCAATCTGTTGGTCTTAGCCTCCCAAAGTACTGGGATTACAGGTGTGAACCACTGCACCTGGCCAGAACCTTTTATTTATTTATTTATTTATTTATTTATTTATTTATTTATTTATTTATCTATCTGAGACAGAGTTTCAGTCTTGTTGCCCAGGCTGGAGTGCAATGATGCAATCTTGGCTCACTGCAACCTCTACCTCCTGGGTTCAAGCAATTCTTCTGCCTCAGCCTCCTGAATAGCTGGGATTACAGGCATGCGCCACCACACCTGTCTAATTTTGTATTTTTAGTAGAGACAGGGTTTCACCATATTGGTCAGGCTGGTCTCAAACGCCCAACCTCAGGTGATCTGTCCACCTAGGCCTCCCAAACTGCTGGGATTACAGGTGTGAGCCATCGTGCCCTGCCCAGAACCTGTTTTTTAACTTAAAATTATTATTTAAAAGTTTGTACATGTTGAGAATTCTTAAAACCTTCACACATTTAATTTAAACAGCAGCAGAGATATCCGATTCCTGGTCAGGTGAACAAGATGACTTGATATAAGCTCCCTGCTCATTGCATTTCCTCACTTCCTAAATTCCTAGGGGTGCACCTCCATTGAATAATAGTTTTTACCACCTGTGCTTAGATAGGGGCAGTGGCCATGGCTCCTTACTTACCCATTAACTAATATCCCATCCTACAGCACCAGACTTGGAGCCAGAGCCCTGGTCATGGCCTCCTAGGTTCTCATATGTGACCTTTGCTCAATCATTTCACCATTTAGGCTTCATAAAAAGTGGGGATTGGCCAGGTGCAGCAGCAGCTCATGCCTGTAATCCCAGCACTTTGGGAGGCCAAGGCAGGTGGATGACCTGAGGTCAAGAGCTCGAGACCAGCTGGCCAACATGGTGAAACCCCATCTCTACTAAAAATACAAAAATTAGCCAGGCATGGTGGCCTATGCCTGTCGTCCCAGCTACTCTGAGGCAGCTGCGGCAAGAGAATTGCTTAAACCTGGTGGGAGGTGGAGGTTGTAGTGAGCCAAGATCGTGCCACTGTACTCCAGCCTGAAGGCTGGGTGACACAGTAAGACTCCATCTCAAAAAAATGGTGGGGGGAGATTATATGGCTGTTAGGGTCCTCCATATCTGATACCCAGGATTGTACCCTAGAGACTTGATTATGTTCATTAATACATTGCAATTTCATTCCTTTCCTAAGAATTACTATCCAATGGTCATCTCTAAGCCCTTCCTATGGGAAACTGCCTCTTTTACAGAAAGAATAAAGTTGTCCTAGATGTCAAGGTTTTGCTCACTTTTTCTCATATCTCTAACTGCCAGTATCCAGAGACAGCTCAGCTGGATTTTTGGCTTTTCATCACAAGGCTTGTATATGTACATACACGCATACACAAGTGTATGTATATGTTCATTCTTTTTGTTTGTTTGTTTTTCGTTTTTTGTTCTGAGACGGAGTTTTGCTCTTGTTACCCAGGCTGGAGTGCAATGGTGCGATCTTGGCTCACCGCAACCTCTGCCTCCTGGGTTCAAGCAATTCTCCTCCCTCAGCCTCCTGAGTAGCTGGGATTACAGGCGCATGCCACCATGCCCAACTAATTTTTGTATTTTTAGTAGAGACGGGGTTTCACCTTGTTGACCAGGATGGTCTCGATCTCTTGACCTCATGATCCACCCACCTCAGCCTCCCAAAGTGCTGGGATTATAGGCGTGAGCCACTGTGCCCGGCCATGTATATGTTCATTCTTAAAGAGATATGGGTCATGGGAGCCTTCACTCTATGCCCCCTCCACCTCCCACCAGCCCTATTTGAATTTTAATGAATAGTTAAAATAAATGCCAGGGCCAGGCACAGTGGCTCATGCCTGTAATCCCAGCATTTTGGGAGGCCAAGGTGGGTGGATCACCTGAGGTCACGAGTTCAAGACCAGCCTGGCCAACCTGATGAAACCCCATCTCTTGGCTGGGCACAGTGACTCACACCTGTAATCCCAGCACTCTGGGAGGCCAAGGCGGGCAGATCGCCTGAGGTCAGGAGTTCAAGACCCACCTGGCCAACATGGTAAAACCCCGTCTCTACTAAAAATACAAAAAATTGGCCAGGCGTAGTGGTAGGCACCTGTAATTCCAGCTACCCCGGGAGGCTGAGACAGGAGAATCGCTTGAATCCAGGAGGCAGAGGTTGCAGTGAGCTGAGATCATGCCACTGTACTCCAGCGCGGGCAACAAGAGCAAAACTCTGCCTCAAAAAAAAAAATGAATTGATTAAATAAGAAATGTCAGGATGCCTAGAAGAACAAGAGTACGTACTAAGAGGCCAGATATATGAGTGCAGCTATAGTGATAAGGAGGCTATCGGCAGTATCACTTAGGTCTAAGGTATAGTTTTAGCTAGAGCTTTCTTCTACCCTAATACTGCCCCCATGTCCTGACAGTGGGCATTGCATTGAATCCTGGATCCTGGACTGCAGCCAGCAGCTCTGGCCTCTGTAGGTCAGCTTCTCTATTTGAAACAACACAGAATTTGAATTTTGACTACTCTGGTGTTAACATCAAAATGCATTTTAGGCTGGGCGCAGTGGCTCACACCTGTAATCCCAACACTTTGGGAGGCCGAGGCGGGTGGATCACCTGAGGTTGGGAGTTTGAGACCAGCCTGACCAACATGGAGAAACTCTGCCTCTACTAAAAATATAAAATTAGGCAGGTGTGGTGGCGCATGCCTGTAATCCCAGCTACTCAGGAGGCTGAGGCAGGAGAATTGCCCGAACCCAGGAGGCAGAAGGTTGCGGTGAGCCGAGATTGCGCCATTGCACTCCAGCCTGGGTAACAAGAGCAAAACTCGGTCTCAAAAAAAATAAAAAACCATATTTATGTGGCAATTTCTACACATCTTTCTTCTGCATGACTTCATTTAATCCTTCTCTCAATCCTGAGAGGGAGGAAGGACAGAAATGTTTTTCCCACTGTTTTCCAGTGTTTGGTTTTGGTGTTTTTCCCTTTTTTTTTGTTTTTTTGACACAGGGTCTTGCTCTGTTCCTCGAGCTGGAATGTAGTGGCATGATCATAGCTCACTGCAGCCTTGACCTTTTGGGCTCAAGTGGTCCCACCTTAGCCTCCCAAGTAGCTGCGACTACAGGCACACACCACTACATCTGACTAATTACTTTTATTTTTAGTACAGATGAGGTCTCACTATGTTGACCAGACTAATCTCCAACTCCTAGCTCAAGCTAGCCTCCTGTTTCAACCTCCCAAAGTACCGGGAGATATGACTCCTTGCTTTTTATTTTATTTTATTTTTGTGAGATGGGGTCTCACTTTCCCAAACTGAAATCCAGTGACATAATCACAGCTTACTGCAGCCTCGACCTCCCCAGGTTCAGGAAGGTCCTCCCCTTCAGTTTTTTTGTATTTTTAGTAGAGACAGAGTTTTGCTATGTTGCCCAGGCTAGTCTTGAATTCCTAGGCTCAAGCGATCTGCCTGCCTCAGCCTCCCAAAGTGCTAGGGATTACAGGCATGAGTGAGCCACTGCACCTGGCCCCTTGCTGTTTTTTTGTTTTGTTTTTTTTAACAGCAAATAAAAATGCAGTCTGGATTTTAAGGGCCACATAGCCAGAACTAAAACGTAGGTCTCCAAGGTCCAAGTCCAGCCCTTTGACACCATACTGCAGCCCTTTGCTGGATACCATACAAAGCAAATCAAGCAGATGTGGTCTCTGCCCTCTGAAAGTGTGGACTCAAATGAACAGCCACGATTCTGGCAAACATAAAAGGACAAAGTGATTTAGTGTCAACTCACATATACAATAAATAACTGAGTTAAATAGATAAGGAAAGGCATGTTTACCTCGTCTACTAATATTTTTTAAATTCCAGTTGAGTAGAGAGCAATGTTAATAAGACTAAGGTTTTGGGCCAGTTCCATCTCTGCCTACTTGCTTTGCACGTGGAAAAATATTTGTAACTGCATGCAAACTCTCCCCTCCTTGTCTTCAGCAATCCGTAAACCTTCCCTGAGCAGCTACGAAGTGTAACACAAATGAAAATGGACTATTAAGAAATCATCTCTGGGCCATGTGCAGTGGCTCACGCCTATAATCCCAGCACTTTGGGAAGGTGAGGCAGGTGGATCACTTGAACTCCTGTCTCTACTAAAAATAAAAAATAAAAATTAGCCAGGCATGGTGGCATGCACCTAGAGTCCCAGCTACTCAGGAGACTGAGGCAGAAGAATTGCTTGAACCCAGAAGGCGGATGTTGCAGTTAGCCAAGATCGATTCATTGCACTCCAGCCTGGAAAACAAGAGTGAAACTCCATCTTAAAAAAAAAAAAGGAAAAGAAAAGAGATCATCTCTGCCCCTGAGCAACATCTTTAACCATTTCCCTAATTCAAACCACTGGGATGAAAACTTATATCCTGTATATACCATTCTACTGCTGGAAAAAGGAC